TCTAATTGGCACAATGAATAGAATTAGCTATTCCTCTGGTAGCCATTGTTTTAGGGAGCTGGTTCCGGTAGTCAATTCTTTGCTTTTGGTTCCTCAGTTGCGTAAAGATTTCTTCCCTAAAATCGAACCAAATCCATTTGCCAAAAAAAGTAGAATTTTATTCTAATATTTTTTTTTTACTTACTTACGAAAATAATAGAACTTTTATATTCATCCGGAAAGGGAAAAGGTATCCACAAAATCCAAAATTTCCACTCGCATTACACATCAAGGCGAAAATTGGTCCGAAGCTGATTGTTTGTCGTTAATTTATGCAACGAGAACAGCTGCAACGTTAACCTGATTTTGATGGCATTTTCAGTGATTGTACGTGTTGGTCCATAGCCTCATATCGCTTCTGTCAAATTTCATCAGCTATTTTTGCCTACGAATGCCGAAAACGACCTCTCCAAATTGGTCCATATTTAGAGGAAAGTTGAAGACTAATGTACAAGCAGTCTAAGAACAATGTCGTCAAATTTCATGAGCTACTTCTTGAAAAAACTCAATTTCGGAAACAACTCAACCAATTCGCTCCATTGCAAGAGTAAATTTGGGGTCCGGTAATATCAATTTTATCCACATCCACTACTTTTGCTAAAACATACACAAAAGTATATTTTTAGCAAAGCATATATTTCCGTAACGATTCGTTCCGTAATTTTTGTTATTTAAATAAAAGTAATTAAATAATTATGTGGTGACTTTACCTGGCTGAATTTTTTTAAAGCTAATACCATTCAAATTACACAACGCTTTTTCATTAACCTGCATGTCAATATTTATTAAATTTATAAAAAATAAAGATAGCATTATCACTACATTTTTATATGTTGAAAATAGTTGTTATTTAAAAAAATTTAAATGTTGAATGTTTTCTGTAAAAAAAGAAATATGTAACTGTTTTCCACAACTGATAGACAGCGAATCCGAAAATATATTATTTATGTAAATGCATAAAAAATAAATTATGTGTTTGAATTGGATGATAAACTGTTAGTTCTTCTTTCTCTCGAAACTATTTTTTTTTTCTATAATAATATTTAAAAAATAAATCTTCTATTCGGACTGAAAATAGCCTTAAAAAATTGAGAAATCAGAGATTTCTAATCAATTATCAATAAAAATGAAAACAAAATGTCTGATGTTATACATTGAATTGAGTACTTATTATTTATAAAAAACTTTAATTTTACCAAATTTAAAGATCTTTATATACTTTCTTTAATTTACCTTTAAGAAAATGGGACACAAATACTAATAAAAGCTTTTTCTATATTTTATAGGAAATTAATATTATTGCAATAATATAATTTTGCATTAAATAACAAATTAGTAAAGTGAATTAAAACAATATGTAAATTTAATTAATTCTTAAAAGCATCTAAATACTATAATCTTATTTAGTCAAATCAACAAATTTTATCTGTTTAGTAGAATTATAGACATCATTATTTGTGTAATACTTCTCATAAAATATGTAGTATATTAAGATACAATTAAAAATATTATACTCCTTGTAAAATTAATCTCTAATTGTATATAACAATGCAACGTCGTTCGCTAATGACCCAGTATTAGATGCAAGACGTCTCGTCCGATGCATTTGTAAAAATAAATAAAAAAAAGTAAAAATAAAACAATATGTGAATCCATATCTTAAATAAGGTTATCTGTTCATGAAGAAAGTCAAATAAGGCGTCATTGATCCTACTGCAAAACATAGAATTTTCCTCATATCTAATTCTTTTGCAGTCATATTAATGTTAAGTTATTCATAGATTCATGTATTGAGGCGAGGTTGCCTGGTGGTAATTAAAAAAAAAAAATTCATTCCTATCAACTTATCCAAGTTAGTCACAAATACTGCGTTAATTTATTTACTTTAAGATTTTAATTGTATTAGCAGTAATTAATACTGAACATATTATTTTCCTCCTTTCTCCTGTTTGAATAAACTATTTCTTCTGTTACAGGTAAATGGGTTTGACACAGATTCCGTATTCATGCGAGGAGAGCGCTCTGAATACCTGTAAGTTGTCTAATTAATTATCTAGGAGCGTGTTAGTTGCCGGGTCGGCTAAGTGAGTGAATGTGAGAGCCCCAAGGACGCAAGCGCTCCGTGAGGGTAGAATGTCACTGGGCCGCTAACTGCCTTTAAATCATGCATAAGGCGAAGGAAAAGGGAAATTCCAAATAGCTATCTCTGATAGATTTAAAATAATAAGTAGATACAAAAAAAAAAAAAAAAATATATATATATATATATATATATATATATATATATATATATATAGTTACTTCTTAAAAATTCAAATAAGGAAGTGCCAAAAGGTAAAAGGACGCTTCCTTAATCATTCCTCAAACGCCCACTTGAACCTTCGGTCAAAAAGAAACAATTTATAAAACTCAATAAAATACTATTTACAGCCAATTTGAAAGAAAAGAAAAAATATCCAATTGGCTATGCAATCCAATTAGATGAAAAGGGTCCTTTTTCATTGAGCTTAACAAAAGGATTCATTTCAATACGGAACTTTCAAGTGTAGTTAGAGGAACGGATATGCATACCAACCCAAGTGCCTTAAATACATTTTTTTTTTTTTGGTTACTATCAGATAACTGATGTATGTGGCAAGCTACATCCTATCATGAATATTAAAATAAAATTAAAAGTGGATTGTTGTATTTTATACTCTCTCTATGGCCCATAAAAGAGAACGGGATGACCGAGCACGTTGGGGCGTGGGTCCTAGAGTGCCCGTCTCTGAACGTTCGATTCCCACCTGGGTCTGTTACTTTTCTCTTCTCGAAGTGCCCGGGAAATGGATTGTGACAATTCCACTCTTGCAAGTACGCGGCAGTAACCCCAACATAGCTGTCAGGGGTTGGCAAAATGTACCACGACAGGGCCAACACTTGCCGGATTAATTCCCCCACCAGCACCAGTACCACTACGGCCCATAAAATACAGTAAAATTTTCAAAATACGTAGTAATAATTATAATTTCATATTACATTACTACATTAATATTACATGAGTAATATTAGTCACAATTAAGGACACGATACAGTCATTCGCTCAAAATATCTACTATTGGTCAACCCGAACATATACCCCTTCTCACTAGCGGATCCAGGATTTAATTTTGCGGTAGGGCTTCAGCCCGACAGCTTTTTTTTCATAAATATAACGATAATTACTTGCGAAAAAAAGAAAGGAACTAACTACCTATATCAAATGGTGTTTAACATATTCCTAAAGTCCTTTTAAATGTAATTACACGAACAATAATACTTTAGAGATAATTTTTTAATATGTTTTTCCATAAAACGTGGTTATATTTTACCATTTCGGGGGGGTTTCAGACCCAAAGCCCTTCTCCCTCCCCCTCCCCCTAGATCCACACGTGCCCCTTCTTGTGGTTTCGCCGTAGTCTGGTAAAAATATGTCATTCTAGGCATATAGATTTTTAGAATTTAAACATAAAGTTGTCCACTGCCGAAGCTCTGTCCGTTACCTTATTCAGATTGCAATTTCGAGATATTCGTGGACTTCTGAGTCTTGAACACCCGAAGTTTAAAACCCCTTGACCTGACTTTCGTATGGGGAGCACCAACCTTCCTAAAACCGGCAAAACTCTATGAGGTATACTCCATCGACGAGAGGGCGGGAACCCTTCAAGACGCTGGAAGCGAGTTGTCCTTCGCGAATAGCCTTGCTCTGTCACGGCCGCTAGTTGTCCTTAGATCGCTGCCCCAGATCCCTGGCTGCCCCTTCTAATCTTTAAACTTCCTAGCCTTTTAGTAACACTTTATATATCTATCAGACTGATAACACAAATCAGTACAAAGTAAGGTATAATCACAGTGAAATTGAATTTTGATCTATGGCACCTTAGTAAATTTGTACAAAAATATGAAGCTTTGTAAAGATAGAAACCTTGATATCAAAAATTGGCCAGTGGAAACAACCTTCCCACATTATTTCCCAATAAAACTGAACGATTGAGTCACATAATACACTGTGTTATAATTGTTTTATATATGTATTTAGTCGACCAAACGATTATGTATCTGGTTCTATTTTATGGTACACCGTCGTCTTCAATAATAAAAAATCGGCAGATAAATGACTAATGGATTTCAGAATGAAATATTGCGAAAAATAGTAACGGTCATGCTAAGAGCTAAAGCGTCAAGACGAGGAGAAAAAAATAACTGAACGAAATGCCAAATTTTATGAGTCATTAAAAAATGTTTCAAATTCCATATTTATTGGGCATCATTGCCGATGATAACGGTTTTTTGAGAATTAAATTTTAGATTCGATTTTAGTGTTTATGTAAACAAAAAAGGGGAAAGCCCCGTCTTCTAATTATTAAATAGAAATCTGTGGCATTAACAGGAATAATAAAAGGCTATATAACTCCTTAACATGCAAATATGCAGGAATTTAAAGACCTTGAGACGCGTCAGAAAAATAAATAAGGGGATATGGAAAAACAATTATTTATTTTATATTATGTAAGTAGGATTAAGGCAGAAGCCAGTAAATTAAACCAGGTAGTTTGATATAGTCTTTATTATAAATAACTGTTAGTTGAATTCTTTAATTATTTCTGAGTGTAGCATATTTTATCTGAATTTTTGTATTACATTCAAAGGGTACAATTCCTTGAGGCCTCTGTTGACAGAATTTTTTATGAAGATATATCAAAACGTCAATCATATCAAAACGAAAAAAAATCCTAAAAATATCCAACCATTTGCTATAGCATGGTAAATCTACCAAGACAAATGAGGCATTACTTCTGCCACCTGACCTACTATATTTTAGTATTTTCCTGATTTCAGTGGGTGATTGCCATTATCCTGCATTAAACCTCATAAACTATCCTTCGAAACATTGTTCTTTAAGAGGTACCTACAAATCATCAAATGTGGGCCGATAGGACATCATGAAGGTGGAAAGCATCATTACCAGACGCTGCCTACTTTCTCCCAAAATGATCATATGTGTTGAGCATCATGATGCCAGTAATTCACAGAGGGATTTGACTTCAGTCCACCGAGGTCAAGTGTATAATACGTAACACAAATTTCTTTTTTGATTTAAGTAGTTGAAAATTCCTTAGCAGATAGTATATTCAAGGGTCCGGAATATTGGAGTATTCGGAAGTCACGTCGAGAAAGTGCTGAATAAATTTAAGTAGGTTTACTACACGAGAAGAAAAGAGCATGTCACGCGATAGAAGTAGATAAGATCACTTGACCGGGAAAGGTGATAGAATGAACAGAAATAATGGTCAAATATTTTTTAGCTTTGCATAACTTTCTCTTCATTTTCTTTATTCGATAAGTAGATACGTATGTACCACTACAAATCATGAACTCTGAATCAGGCTCAGCAGTGAGTAAGAACGTTATGTTTCTTGAAAAATGGTGATGGAAGTAGAAGATGTAGTGAGCAACCGCGATCAAGGTTTGTCGCCCGACTAAATACGGCTGAGTGTGGCTCAGATGAATTTTAGTAGTATTGTAAATACCTTGAGTAAATACCTGTTGTATTAGGTATTTATATTAAAACAGTTAGTTATTAAAACAGTCTTAAACAGTTAGTTGGGTTTTTATTTCATAGAAGGTACAATGATGTTTATTTGGAGAACTGAACCTGATGTTTCAGGATACGTAGAATTCGAAAAAAGAATACAATTTTTTTCGTCGTATTTTGTTAAATATATAGTTGTGAATTTCAATAAATACCCATCAATATATATTTGAAAAACAAAGAGGTAAATTTGAAAAAAATCATTATGTATTTCATAATATAATACCGAATGAACTTTCCCTCTGTGAAATCAGAACATTGTGCACTTATTCTGAACCTAAGGTTCTTATTTTGGTTTGTTAAATAAGAACAAAATTCACAAAAATGTGATTACCTAAAACATTAGCTCCACTAAAAATGTACTTGATCTATTTCTGCATTAAACCTAATTAAACGATTTATTTTTTCCATGGGGGTACGCATACAGATCAGTATGTGTACTTCCAACTCAAACTACAGTTTTAGCCCAATAATTATGACGAAAAGATTTCATTATGCAAGAGTATCTTTTATCATTGTGGTTTTTTAGAAATTTTAAAATAAACTTATATCACTAATAACTGATTAAAAAATTGTGCTTTAAAATATAGTAAAGTAATTGGACGATTTCTCGATCGGAAACTGTTATGTCTCACATAATTCAATCCAAGCCGGAGATCTGAGACTTAGGAACTGCGACACGCGACTCGACAGTCGCGGTCCTGGTCACGAAAGTTGTCGCCGCTGCTCTGCAATTTGCTGTCAACTATTGCAAACCCACCGATCTTCCACTTCCATGACCACACTCAGTGCTGTATTTAGCTGCCTTAATTGATCACCAACTGGGCATGATAGTCCGTCTCGAATGGCTGACCTCTCGTTAATGCCGGAATGGAACTTTTCTCTTTCTCTCTCTCTTAATTTCACAACACTCCTCCAATCAAAATCTAAAGACAAACTGTTATTGGAGCCCAGGCAAAACAAGATGGAAAACCTTGCTTTGATAAAAAAGTGCTTCTTTAATTGTTTGGCACATAGTGGATCTGCAGTACTCAATCATAGCTCCTTTTTCATAAACATAATTTTAATATTAATTAATAACTGAATAGCCACACGTTTTTCTTCAACATTTCAAATATTGAGGATGTATTAAAAATAAAGCGATGCATTGGGCCTGATAGCGAATTATTAACGAAAATATTCATATCACAATTTAAATTAAATATTTCATTTAAAAATTAAATTATTAAATTACAGATAGAGAGAAGGAGTAAATTTTTAATATAAGCTTATATTTTTAGTAATTATAGTAATTTAAAAAGTACAGTAATATCATAAATTTATACACTTTAATCCTTTAAACACCCTAGATGTGAAATCGAGACGTATACGTTCGAGTTAAATTATCTCAGATTATGACTGTAATAGGTCCAGTTTATATAAAAATAACTGAAATCGTCAGTGTGATATGAAAATGATTCTCAACTCACGATTATTTTTGGGACTCCATCTACAGTATGCTCAATGTGATCTTGAAACCAACCCCATCTCTGAGTGACTATTCGGAACTAGTACCAACAAACAGTAATATCATACTATAATTGACTTAGAGAAGAACGTATAAAAAATATAGAAATTGAAAAAAAAAAATTAATAAAATTGTAAGCTATCGGATAACTTACTTCTTAATCTTTATAATTCTTCTGTAACTTAATTCACTTTAGTTTCTTAACTAATCCTATCTAAAATTTTATGTATTATAACTACTTAAATAATAACCGAAAATTCCTCAGCAAAAAACAGTGGGGGTTTTTCCTAGTGATTTTTTAAAAATTAAAAATCAGTGTCATTTAGAATAGAAATAAAAACATCCTTTTCACTTTTTATGACTTTTAAATAGATATATGACTGTGTCTTACTTTGATTTATCATCTATTAAAAATATTTATTTAAATAATTAAATAATCGTAGTAGCTTTCTTTTTTGCTGAAAAGTTGTACTCTCTGATAAAAAAAACAACATAATGTGAGAAAAAGAAAGATTCTTGTTTTTTGTTTCTCTTATTAAATTCATACTATAAACAATCGAGACTAATGTCTATATGTCATGTCACTCTCTAGTCTTTCTTTTTTTTTAATTTTTATTGAATTGTAAATAATACAATCTGTCACATTGAAGGATAATAAGTATTAAGGTTACACATGTTCATTCACACCATATATACATCTAATAGGGAAATAAATATGAATAATTAAAAAGATAAATAAAAATAATAATTATAGGAAAAATATATAAGAAAAATATATTTAAAAAATAAAATAACATACATAAATGAAATAAGAAATGAATCAATAAGTAAAAATAAAGAAAATTCTTCTTAACATAATCATTCCTACGTACAAGGGCTTATTCTAGTTTTTCGTCAAACAATATTTATAATTTAAATGTTTTTTGGCCCAGTCTATATATATATACTAATGGGAAATGACTTGTCTCATTTCTATTAATCACAAACTATTTTTAGCTTCTATAATATTACTTAATTTATAATATTAGTTAATTTATAGTTATATTATGTAGTATATATAGCCTTATTTTAATCGCATAGTTTTTCTTTCCGTGTGAGAGGTTACGAATACGAATTCCTCTCGTATCCAATCATTCCAATCCAAAATCCTTCGTAAAATCCTCAATGCTCCCTACTTTGTTACAAATAAAACCATCCATAACGACCTTAATGTTTCTTTTGTTTCAGAGCTGGCCCAATCCAGATACCTATCCTTCCATAATAAACTTCAGAATCATCCCAACTCTATCGTTTCTAGCCTTGCTTCCTTTTCCGACCCTCCGAGGCGTCTGAAAAGAAGATGGCCCCGTGATATCCTAATGTAGACATATCATTAGAGTGCTACCATTGGGTAGTTACTCAGCAAGTGTTTTCATGTCATTATATCCATATGTTCAAATTTACTAGATGTATTTATATAATACAGTTGTAAATATCATTAAGACATAATAAAAATTTAAAAAAATTAAGAAATATAAATAGCGTGTGCTTCCCGATACTTTCAAATATCCCGTTTTAGATACTTACAGGTAGAAAGTGGTTTTGGATCATAGGTGATCATCCTCCGTATCTAACAGTTGTCCGTATGATCGGTACCGATTCGCATTACCCTCCAATTACATGATGGCGCAAATATGACAAATTATGATAATAACAACAGAGTTCACACTATCTCAAGCGATTTCCTCTTTCAGGTTCGCCTAATATAGATATAATTGCCCTAGCTTCGTAGCGATTGGAAACACGGCGCATTAAGTATGCTGAAGTCCTTGCGGCGGTTTTTTTTTCACTACATCACTTCTTCCTGCATTTCAATTGCAATTGAATTTATTAGTATTTTATTTGACATTTATAAGTTTCACTTTCTAACGCGCGTGCTATCCAACACACCCTGTAATTGTCTTGACGTGTAGAAATTTAATTAATTCGAACGTTAGCGAAAAATATGTTGCAGAAGTGGGTATGTTAACCGCTGATCGATTTTTGGATTAGATTGCGGCCATGTTGCGTCATCATAGTTACTTATGCAAAACTGATCAAAACAACCCATTGGTCCTTTCTAATGGTGCCACTACCATAAACTGTTACTAGTCACTACAGTCACTAAGGTGACTTATATAAGAAACTATGTCGATTTTAACAGCTAACACCAATTTGTTTTTACACCTTAAAAACTATTCGTAGTAAATCAGAGAGTATTCTAAATAAGACCATAAGAACCTATATGCATATAAAAACTGAACCATGAAAAAAAATATGGTATTACATAGTATAAATTGGCGTGATTGATTAAATGCATGTATTGGAAATTTGTATTCGTCGATGAATAGTATGTTTTAATAATATAAGCGCAATAACTTTTTTTGATACATATTTGCAACGTAACGAGAGTAGATACACGCCTATGTCATAACATGGCAGCACCTATTTCCTAACGTAGAATAGCATTTACTTGTTATCTTGGAATAGCTTCAATACTCCCATGCCAGAAATACATGTCCGTTTTTTCTCTCATGTTTTCGTCAAGCAATAAAAATATTTAATTCTAAAATTATTACATTAGCTTTTATAAATGTGTGTTATTAAAGTTGAGAGACAGGACACTTTGACAGTACTGAGTTGTGGCAAATACGTCAAACTGTATTAGACATAGGTTAACCCTTCAATCCCCACCATAGCACAGAGTCGCACTGTTATTTCATAAGTTTTTATGAAACTTTTTTTATTATGAAAAACTTCCAATCTCACTACACATGAATAACATTTTTTTTCCATGTAAGTATTTCATCAGCACTTTTTTTCGAAAATTTCTAAGAGCAATTTTGAAAAAAAAAAAGATTAACATTAATAAAATTACTACTTAAAACCTATTATTTCATGGCTATGTTAAATACTCTATTACTAAAAATTAAAACTTTTCATTATTAAAATATTAACTATCCTTGTCGATGTTAATTTCAAGAACCAAACGATATCACGCTGAATACTAAAGTTAAACAATTTAACACACAGGATTAAATAATAGGTTACTTGAATCCTAAGGAATGGATCTACATTCCTATTAAATTCTATTAGGTAATAACGAGACGCTCATGTATATAAATAGTGTATGGTACAATCAACCAGAAAGGTTGTACAAAAGTCATGGTTGCATTCTGGCTACCTTAGTTCATTATCTCGTCTATAAAAGCAATGCTGCAGTCTGGAAATTTTTTCCTTTTTATTTTCGTGGTCACATTGAACAATGGTTCTGGAATAAGTGAGCAACAAATACACTTTTCTGAGCCTCGTTCAATTAATCAAATTAAACCTACTTACGGAGTACGTACTATTTTTAACTCATCTTTCTTCACCAGGAACGCACTGAGGTTTATACATAGGTAGTATTTCATAAATCACATTTCTATTATTAACCTTCTCTACGGTAACAGACTTCGTATAGTAAATAAAAAATTATTGGTCCTTTAAGGAATGCTGGAAGGTCATTTACTTTCATTTGCTTATGGTGTGCGCACTGTTTATACTAGAGGAAACATGTATGTTCAGTAAAAAAAAATTTAAATATACAGCGAAAGGGCGGGACACGCCTTAACTTATTTCCTTAATTAAACCTATAAATAAATTTATAGTTAAAAAAAAAATACAGGAAAACATATTTATCATTCGTTCTCAGTAATTAGAGTACCCGTTCTAGTAACTAGTCCCTGTCGTTATTGAAAAAGTTCAACTAATTCGTAACGCCGATCAAACCTGTTCAGAAAACTTAACGTTGAATGAATTATTTCTTTTTCTTCTTAACATGAAACGGCCTAAGAATTACTCGGCATTTACGGTATTTTAGTTTCAAATGTATTCGTTCCGACTGTCATGAATAAAATAAAATGTTTTTCAAAAGCAAAACTACAATAACATACTTGTTTATTATTCTTACAGCCTCGTGGCAGAAAAAGTATTTACTCTGTTTCATCGGCCGTGGGGCGTCCCCCGGGTAAGGAGACCCTTCTGAGGCCCAGCCTCTGAAAAGTGTGTAACCTAAATTAGCATAATTAATTAAGGGAGAAAACCTGCTAGAGAGCTAAAGGTTGGTTATTAATATTCATAAATTGATGTTGGTTTTTCGGTTCTTCCAGAGTTCTGGAGCATGGTAAGTAAAGGTTGATGTATTAGCTGATTCCAGTCATACAGCAGGAAAACGTTTGTTCGACATTATTGAGCTATTCTCCCCCACTTCTCCAAAGAGGAAGTGATGGCTCAAATTGCAACCAGATCCATTAATCAAGATAGCGCCGGGGACCGCGTGCACAACTTCCTCCAGTTATGGCAACTAACTTCCGCGTTTCGTAAGTGTTCGATAATTACAGAAAATATTCATTAGGTGTTCTTGTTAACTACGGTTGTCGTACGTGTAAGAACACCTTCGCATAATTAGTATTTAGAAGGCGTTCTAATATACTTTATATCAACTTAACTTTTTCTTTTTAACTTAGCTTTATCTCATCATCCACAGCTGTCATGTAAGATAGACGACCGGTGAGTTTTCTGGCTAGAAATAGGATAATATACCATGATAGGCATGAGAGATAGTAATACCCAGCGCCACATCTTCCTGTATTGATTTCATGGTTAGACAGGAAGATCCCTCTTCTAATTCCTTTTTGGTCTTCTACAGATGTCATCGGCCATGTAACACGTGATAGTTGATGATGAAAACGAAATAGGTGCTGAGTGAAGGCATTCAAGTCAACTGAATATGTTGAACAGGTGACCTGATACTGGTTGTTCTTATCGATCAGTAAGAGTATCAAAGTGTATTGTCCTTTCTTATTCCTGAAAATGTTAGCTCCTAATATTCTAGTCTGTTTAGAACCATTAAGTAGGCTGACGATTATAGATATCCAGCAGCAC